TTGGGCGGAGAGCTTCCGTGTGGCCCCTAGGGCGAGGCCGCCCACCGTGGCGAGGCCATCTCCAGGGATGCCCTTCGCGTCCCCAGCCCCGGGAACCCCTCCTAAGGCTCGCGGCCCGGATCGGCCCCGGCCGCCGAGGGCGTGCGGGAGCCGGGAGGCAGCGAAGGCTCGGCTGCCCAAGAGGCAGATGACGAGCTCTCGCTTCGCGTTAAGGACTCGCTGCTCCCAGGGCCCCGACTGGGGGTGCCAACGGCGGGCAAGCACCGCGGTCCAGAGCCACGCGGGCGTCGCGCCGGGTGGGTGTCTCGGGGCCCCGGCGCGGGGTGCGCGGGCTCAGCCCGGCCCGGCCCGGCCGTCTGGGGTCCCTGGCCTGCGCCTCCTCCCTGCTTGTGGAGCCGGAGCGAGGGAAGGCTCGGGCGTTTTCTGCCTGCAGTGCCCACCGGCCACGTCTTGTCCTTCGGCTCCGCGCTGCACTCTGCCGAAGGGGAACTGGAGAGAGAAGGGGAAATAAAAGAGACCAGGGGCGGGCAGGGAGGAAGCCACCAGCCGGAGTGGAGGGAGCAGGGAGGGCAGGGTCCGCGCTGCGGGGCCTCCTGCTCCACCCGTCCGGGGGGCTCTCCGGCGGAGGGAGAGAGCGCAAGGGGAAAGGCGGAAAAAGAGCGTCGAGTAACGGCAAGCGGCGCGTCTTCGGTTTCGAATCCTCCCGGCGCGCCGGAACCCGGCTGAAGCCGAGTCGTCCCTCGCCGCGCTCCGGGGCCAGGCGGGGAAGGCCCAGCCCAGGGCGGCGCCGCGGCGCGGGCCACCGACGGGCCTGGCCCGGGCGCAGCGCGAGCGAGGCCACACACCTGTCCTGCGAACTGCCCGGGTGCTGTGGCCCAGTGGCCGCGGCGCCGGCTGCAGAGCCCTCCCTGCGCGTCTCGGGCCAGCAGTCCCGGAACCCGGAGGGCCGCGAGGCCGAGGCCAGCGGGCGATTGCAGGAGAGTGGGAGTGAAGGAGCCGGGTGGCTGCCAGCCGGAACGGTGGCGAGCGGCGGCGGGACCTCGGTGACCCGCGGGGCGGGGCTGTTCGGGGCTCGGTTTGGGGACTTTGGGCGCAGGCAGGCTCCTTTGAGCCCTTGCCCGGCTGCGGACCGCGTGTCCCCTGCATGCGTCCGCTCTTGCCCAGCCTGCGTCTTGGTTGTCCAAAGTCACAAGCAAATTGTTTGGTGCAGAGGGTCTTTTGGGGTTGGGGGAGGGGAGCTGGAGGGAGAGGTCAGGCCAAGGAGTGGTGGGGTCTGCCCTGTGTTGGTCTCAAGTATTTGGCGATTTCGCCTCTTCTGTTCCTTTGCGTTTCCTCCAGAAGAGTTGGTATCTCCGGTCCCGGCCCCCTTGGCCCGCTGGATTTTGCACCCGCTGGCTGAGTGAGCCTTGCCGCGGCCCACACTCGCCGGCCGGCCAGGCTCCCTTCTATTCGTACTTCTTGGACGAGCCGGGCTGGTTCCGGGTCCAAATCTGGGACCCGTACTCCGCCACGTCTGAACAGCAGGCGTTGGCCGCAGTCCGGGACTGTCTTAGCTTTATTGCTGTCTGAGCTCTCGCATCTGGTTCCAGCGGTGTTTCCAAATACCTCTTGGGCATTTGGTGTGCGGGAATTTTCCTCAAGCGAAGAAGTCTGTGAACTTTAAGGGGAAACAAAAAATCTTTCCTTTTTCATCTTCACCACCTCTTACTCCCCTGGCCCCATTTCCCATTGTTCTTCGCTTTTTAAGTTGGCTGTTAATTTTTTTTTAAAGTTTATTTGTGCCACGGAAAAATATCCTTTCATTTGTTCCGTTATTTTAATTCCTGGTTTATGGAAACGGATCAGAGACCACCAAAATGTCACCTGTTGTAATGAGCAGCGGAGTGTTGTGTGTGCCTTTTAATTGCCAGCAGAGGAGGTGGGGGCGTCCGGAGCCCCAGCACCCCGCGCTCTGCAGCTTTCTTTGTGCAAGTGGCTTGGGCTCTAGGCTGCTGCAGCAGCTTCCTCCGACCCTGCTCCCGGGCGCAGGCCAGGAAGCCCAGACCCTGGACAGGGATGGGCAGAGCCCGGGATGGGCAATTGCCACGCTTTGAGACTTTCTCTCAGGCTTTGGTTTCCCGTGTCAGAGTGGTAGGTTCGCACGGGAGCCGGAGCGCTGCGCACCAGCCCAGCCTCACACAGCTTCACGCCTCTTCGTTTCATTTGTCTTGGTTCTGGCATGTTTAACCACGCAATTAGTCCTCTCACTAATTATTCAGTTAGCTGGCTTTTTGTAATCACTGTAGACCAAGGTCGGGTCTGTGATTTAACAAACACAACTCCCACACGGACGTCCACAACTCGACCAAACCCATCCTGTCAAGGATTTGAAATTTTCAAAAACTCAATATTTGTTGGTCCCTCCGTCCAAACCTCACCGCCTGCCAGACAATTTATTTAGCTTCCTAGATTGATCCTGCCTCCTTGTTTGGTTAATCCAACAAAGACTTTTTGCAATCTGTTTGGAGTTTGTCTGATGCCGAGGAAAAGTAGCTGATGATTTATTTGGTTGCTTTTCGATTTCTGTCTTCGGCCCTTCTTTCTCCTCCTTTCAGCCGGGTGTCAGCTGTTATTACTTCCTATTGATCCCTTTGCAAAGCGAGAAGTGAACGAAAATTAATGTCAATTCCACTGCTCGGATCAATAGCTGGAGTTATTTTAATCTGGATTTGCACGAAGTGCTAAATTAAAAAAAATCAGCATAGAGGCCGAAAAGTAACAGTTCCTTACTTTCCCTTTGCCCGCTTCCTTAGAGGCGCCCCAATGCTCCATCAGGCTGATTATCTTACGATCCATATTTTTTTAATTAAGAGGGTCAGTTAGTTTTCTTATTTTGGGTTCTGTGTTTAAACCCATGACATTTTGACATTGGGAGTGTATTAACTATAGATTTTCATAATGACTGTGGTCTGCTGGAGCCTCCTCTATACATGTTGTTAATGTGAGGCGGGGAGCCACTCCCCTACCCCAACCCCAACACCCACCCAGTGGTGTGAAAGAGATGTGGCCTGGAAAAATAACGTTGATTTATTTTCGCCGTAATGAAGTTTTCAAATGAAGAACTTGGTTTGAGTGATTCACCGTGTTCTGTTGGAGTGTGTCCGGTGCTGTCGCCAGATTACTAATTTATGAAACCCATTTAACATAACGAGGAAGTAAAAACAGAAATAGAATTCTCTAGGTGATGGTTATTGGGGGGGAGGGGGAAATACCCCCCCTGACTGGAGTCTTATGTTTGCCCTTTTCTCCAGCTCATTTCCTATCATACTGCTTATTGATAGACAGGTAGTTATCTCTCATGTGAAGTACTGCGTAGACCCCTTGGACCAGCACTAGGCCCTCTTTTAGAGCTTCCATGTTGTAGGACCATTAATCTGACTTGAAAACAGCCAAGAACAGCATTCCCAGACTCGCCGGGCTAGCTGGCTGTCCTTGGCAGATCATTCCCTGCACTGCTATAACTTGACAGGAAAGTTATTTAAAATTTGGAAGAGAGAAAAATCCGTTAATGCGAGATACATAATCTGGTAATTTAGCAATGATGTCTGTGAGGAAAGATGCCAAATGAGGAAGCAGTCTGATGGTGTCCACTCATCTTCCCAATTAATAGCAGCCATTGACACGTCTGCTAGAGGATGGGGGAAGGAAATACTCTCTTTGCACTGCATTAAAGCAGAGGATTCACCTACAGTTCACTGAGATTCCTCTATTTGAGGGAATAGCAAAGATGCGCCACTATATAGGTCGGTTTGGTGTTTTGGTTTTTTTGGTGGTGGTGGGGGTTTCAGATGTGACCCTCCACTTTAAGTTTAAAGTTTGTAGCAGATGGTGCCTTTGGGTTGCATATGGAGTTGCATTAAGTTTCTATTAAATGTGTTTTGGAAGTCCTATATTATCCCAGCTTGTGAGGTTTAGCCCCTTCCCTCAGCCCCCACCCCAAGCTGCGTTTTAAAACAGAATCAGTGACTAGGAGCGTGTACAACCTACATTGAAACAGGAAATTGAAAGAAGTCTCTCCGAACGCCAATTTGTTCCTGGGGCCTTTATTGGACATCAAGTCTGACTGGGCCAATAAGCAGAGCAAAACAAGTCAGAAATTTTGTTAACATTTTATTCTAAATGTTAATGGCAAATTCAGAGGCAGTTTAGAAATCTACTTAAGAGTGAGTGCATCCAGTTCTTTGCTGCTCCTGGAAGACAGACGCTTTGAGAGAGCATGTGTTTTTAAATATTGTCAGAGACGCCGGGCATTTTATTGACGACGGTTTTGAAAGGCTACGTGATCAGCGAGGGGTTTGCATCAGCAGTCACGGTGTTTCACATCACAGATCTTTCTGGAAGCAGTCAGAGATGAGACACGAAGATGTGCGTGATTCACCCACATGTGCCGTTGGGACCAACTCAGCAGTATAGATGTATGTGGTCTAGCCGTGCTCGATTTAGGGATTTTTGAGAATCCAGGCAGCGTGAGGGAGGATGAAGGGACTATGGGTATGAGGAAGGTCACAGAGGTAGACCTTGGTGTCTGTTTAAAGCTCAGGCCTCCCATGGGTGGAGCATCCAGGGGGGAAGCCTTGTAAAATATAGGCCCCACCTAATCTACTGGGTGACTTGGTCTTCCAAAGCTCATTTGCTCAGGGAATATTGTATTTGGAGGTTTTATGATTTTTTCCCCCCTTTGCTGGGCTCAGGCGCATTTCACCCGGAACGTGTAGGGACCAAAGTCAGCTACGCGTACATCACAGTAAGTTGTCTATTGATTTTCCTGAATGAAAATGGTCTGATGCTGCTGCCCACTGGCTCCGAAAGCCTGTAGTGTCTCTTGCCCAAGCCTCTGTAAGCCAGAAGGATGGTGTTCCGATCACTTGGGGTTTTCCTTGTTTGCCTGCCTCTGACTGTCCCCCTCCTGTTTTTGTCTCTCTGCTGTTTCCACAGGTCTTCAAAGGGGATGATTCCCCAGTAATATTCCCTGCCCTGCTCCGAGGTGCTGCTCCCTCCCAGGGAAGACTGTTTGTTGTGTGACGCCGGCCCTAGAAAGAGACTCCGATGGACTTACACCGGGCAGCCTTCAAGATGGAAAATTCATCCTACCTTCCTAACCCTCTGGCATCCCCAGCGCTGATGGTGCTGGCATCCACGGCTGAAGCCAGCCGGGATGCTTCCATCCCCTGCCAGCAGCCACGACCCTTTGGTGTACCTGTCTCAGTAGACAAGGACGTGCACATCCCTTTTACCAACGGCTCCTACACCTTTGCCTCTATGTACCACAGGCAAGGCGGGGTGCCAGGCACTTTTGCCAACCGTGATTTCCCCCCTTCTTTGCTACACCTCCACCCTCAGTTTGCTCCTCCAAACCTAGATTGCACCCCAATTAGTATGCTGAATCACAGTGGCGTTGGGGCTTTCCGTCCCTTCGCCTCCACTGAGGACCGGGAGAGCTACCAGTCTGCCTTCACACCAGCCAAACGACTGAAGAACTGCCATGACACAGAGTCACCCCACTTGCGCTACTCAGATGCAGATGGCAAGGAATATGACTTTGGGACCCAGCTGCCATCTAGCTCCCCCGGTTCACTTAAGGTCGATGACACTGGCAAGAAGATTTTTGCTGTCTCTGGACTCATTTCTGACCGGGAAGCTTCCTCCAGCCCCGAGGACCGGAATGACAGATGTAAGTACGGTGGTGCCCTCCCGCCCCTCCCCTCAGCAAGCCCAGCCTGGTCTGAAGGAGTGTTCAACAGGTCGGTGGCATTTCTAGTAAAGGGAAGGGCCAACTAGACTCCTATCCTTTCAACAGCTGTGGAGTGCTAACATGTACTGGTCTGGTCGATGAGCATTGCTACCAGCGCTGCCTGTCCAAGGGCCTGACTTATTCTCTGGAGACTGGAGCAGTGAAGGTGCCAGGTGTCCACTTGAGCCTCACTTCATAGGAGCGTGTAGGTTCCAAGAGAACTGGGGGTGTAGCGCGGGCGGGGGCAGGCAGGGAGCCGGAAGCAACTTGTCCCTCTCTGATGTCCTCATTAGGTGTCTCTGATCTCGGTATTATATTTTTGAGTTTTTCCATTGTGTCTCATCAGGGCGACGCCACTTGATTTTATTTTCACAACTCTCAGCCCTTGTCCACGTCAGGCTGTTTTTCAGAGAAGGACAAAGGTGTCGTCAATCACCATAAAGCATTTCCAACAGCTGTGTTTTCCTTGCCGTCGCAAGGCTGGCAAGCCAACTTCTCTTGGGATCTCACAGGTTTGCTGGATGCTTATCCTGAGGCTCGCTTTTAGGACTAGGCATGGTTGATCTGTGACTGCTCCGTAGTTCATGTTCACAACTATGATGCATTTCTGCTCGCTCCGTGCCTTGTGGGGTGCGCTGGTACGCCCATTAATAGTTCCAGCGAAGCCCTCACATGGGGCTTGCAGACCAGGACTGCTGAACCCTAAAATCTTGTCTAATCAGAAATTAATTGTGATTTTTAATGGGGGGGGGGTCTGTGAGTAGACAGAGCTGTTTTCTTCAAGCCTGGCGAGAATTTATGAAACGAGGGTGTTTTTCACCAAGCTTTTGTTCTTAGACTTGCTTCCTTTTGATTTTCTTAAGAAAACTATATCTGAGGGGTGCTTTCCCCTCTTCTTTCTTGTGTGTGTGTGTGTGTGTGTGTGTGTGTGTGTGTCGGGGCCCGTCCTCTCGATCACCACCAACAAACACGAACACCATTTTCCTGCCCTCTTTATGATGCCGAGGAGAGTAATAGAGACGTAGCTGCTCTCCCCCCTGTTGGCACTGCTTCCTCAGGCTGTCTCCTTGAATTAGGCACTGTGTTAACTTTCCTGCGCTAAAAGGCATCTGCCTAAACCCAGCGTACCTTTTCAATAAAAGTCATCATAAAATCAACCTGCCTTGTAAATCCATCGCTCTTTGGTTTTGAAATATGTTGCTGCGAGTGTGTCTTTTATGTCAGCCTCTGGAAGCCGGAGACCTCCCCACTTAAGGGAGAAGCAGGCTGCTCTCTGACAGCACAGCCGCCGCTGCTGCGCCCCCCACGTTTAGCTTTTATCTCCTTTTTCACCTTTTCGCTTTCTGGCCAGCTGGCTCGGATGTGTCAGGATCTTGCCGTTGGGAGAGCCCCGCTGAACATGTATCGCCTTGTGCGGGTCCATTTTATTTTATTTTAGGGTTCATTTGTCCAGGCATGGGCAAGTCCTCAAGGCTGGCTGTCATCTGACCTCTGGTTGAAATGGCTCTGGGTTTGGGGTGTGACCCACTCTGCCTTCCTTTTTAGTCTCCCGTACCACCACCTTGCAAATGCCGACTGAATATGAAATTCTCCTCTAAGCTGCTGTGCCACAAAGTACCATCGCGAGATCAGGATTCCTTTCTTTCCCCCTCACCAATCCCGCTTGCCTCCATTTTCTGTCTATTCACCTGGACCAGACCCCCCCAGCCCCCCCCACCCCGCCCAAAGCCAGGGGGAAGCTTGTTAGTCAAGTGGGAACTCCATTCCCCTCCCAGTGTCAAAGCCGTAACTCTTCTGTTCGCCTGGTTTGCATCGTGTGGTCGCGCCATCCCCTGTGGAGATGGGCCCCTCACACAGGAATACGCCTGGGTGGAGAAAAATTAAATGAGTCTGTCTCCCAAAGTGAAATGGAATTCTGACCTTGAAATTAATGAGAGCCCGATCAGAAGGGTGGGGAAAGTTCTGCGTCTCTGATTGCAGCGTGATAGAAACGGGGACCCCCCCCGCTCCTCCGTCGTTTGGGTAGAACACTGGGCCTTTAGGGGCGAGTTGGGGTTCTCTTTTCTGTTGTTTCCTCTTACGCAAACATGGGGCCTTATAGGCGTGTCCGTGCACCCGTGACGTCTGCACACCCGTGCTGTCACCCAGAGTTGCGTGTGTGGCTGATCTTCAGCAGGAAACAAAGGTGCAAAGTGCGGGGGAGACTCTTACCCCTGGGGTCAGCCCCACTGGGGCTCCTCTCTCCATTCCTGCCCTCAGCTGGGCGGACAGCCCTCGCAGGCTTGTGCTGGCTAGGTGTGCTGTTTGGATGTGGCGTTTGGGGAAGGAAGGAGAACGGTCTCTCTGCAGGGAAGGGTGGGAGAGGCACTGTGACCAAGTCTGCCGCAGCTTTCTTGGCTCCTGTCATACGCCGACATGTGTCGGAATATTTATGGTCTGTTTTATGTAAATACATATTTAAGGGCCGTTAGAAGGCCTGATTATCCCCACTAGATGCCTTTCAGGTCCTCCCTGCAGAACCGTTTGGAAATAAGTAATATTTCTCAGACGATCGAGTGACAGTCCACAAGACAGCTTTCAAGGGAGAGCTGGAGGAGGGGCAGATGGGGCAGTGGGGCTAGGGGCAGTGGGTCGGTGTGTGAGGAGAGAGACGAGAGAAAGGAATGTCTAAAAAAGACCAAATAATAGACTACTGTGGCTTTTTCCCTGATGACCCAAAGTAAGCACCTATGCTTTTGACTTTTTTATTCTTCCAGTGGAGACTCATTTCTGATAAGGTGGACTTGGTTTAGTTCAGCTCTCAGCATCCTCTATGTAATCTATTATTCCCCGCCCCTCTCTCCCTGCCATGTGAAAAAGAAACGTTTCTATGACACACAACAGAAAAATCCTTTAAATGTGGGTTTAGCTTCCGGGGTGTGGCTGTGGGTTTTGTGTTCCCCACTTCAAGTAGAAGTTTTATGACTGAGTTTTAGGTCATTGAAAACTCTGTCTTACAATGGAAACACTGACACAGTTTTTACTGTGGCATCCCCCCCCCACACACACACACACACACTGTGTCCATATGCAGATACAGCCACGTGGGACAGCGTTCCAAAGAGAGGCCTGTAGACGTGGTGTAATACACAGGAGTGCTCTTTCCTTACATCTGGGTTCTGTTCGGCAGGATCATGGATTTCTCCTGTGATTAAAAATGCACTGATTGATTTTTCTTTGTAGGAAAAAAACTCACTATCTTTAGGCTAAGTATTATCTCTCCTAGTAGATGCTTCCTGTTTGTTGGTCTGTTCATCCACCTGGCACCACAGGTGACTCCTGAGGTAGGTGTGGGGGGCACCGCGGAAATAAAAGAAGCCTTTACTCTACAGGATTGACTTATTTGCCCAGGAAAATGGGAGGAGTGTTTTGTGAGAAGCCTGTTCATGGAGGAGGCATAATTCCCCCAGGAAGGGGCCTGAGGTAACTCCTGTTTATTGTCGCTCCCTGAACCATTCTCCAAGGCTTCTTGTCCAGGGAAATGATGTTGAAATTTATGGACCAATTACGAACAGTCCACGTGTGTCTTACATGCGAAGTGTCTATGGCTATGTTTCCCAGGGCTTTTAAAATAAACATTTCCTCGTTAATGAAACTTTCCAACAAGAGGGAAGATAAGTATTGTCTACTGCCTTTCCTAGACTCTATCTATTTATGACCCCCTTAGCTCTCTGGGCCTATTGTGTGTACTTCCTGAGAGTGTTTTGTGGCCACCCCCCCACCATCACCACTGGTGCCGATTCCTGTAAGTGGCACAGTCTTTGGCCTGTGTGCAGTCCATCCATCCCAAATTGCGGTTGGCTCCAGTGTACGCGCACCGGAAGGCTGGGGGTGGGGAGTGGGGGCAGAACTGCACCTCCACGAGGAGCACCAGCTACTGACCCTCGTTGTTGGGGGTCAGGTGCACTCACAGGGAGTCAGCTCCTGGCTGTCCAGCCCTGCCCTCATGGTTGCTGCATTTGAAAGGCCATCCCAAGGTCCCAAATGCCCTGGCTTGGAGATGGTGTTTTGCATGTGTCTTTATAGAGGCATGTGTCACTGCAGACCCATGATCTAAGCACTGGGTGAGGTAGGCGGGCGGCGGCATAGGACCAAGACAGGCTGAGGTTCAGAGGGGCCACTGGTGTCACGGAGGTGGCTGTGGGGGCACTCCCCATGAGATCTGGAACTGGGGTGGGTAGGGACCCAGGGTTTGGCCTTCGGGAGAAATGCTCTTGGCTGGGGAGAAGGTTTGGGCTATTCCCAGTCCTGGGAATCAATCTCTGGATTCTAGCTGGCCCAGATGAGCGCCGTGAAAGAGTCAACAAATCACCAGACAAGATGGGTTAGGAGGTTTCCTCCAGCTCTGGGCCCACGGTTCAGCTGAGCCCTTTCCGCCTCCCCCTGTCTCCGGGGGTGGTGGGAGAGGGTGGGGGCCAAGAACTCCTGTGATGTGTGTGGTTGTCTCTGGTTGTTCACTCCCGACGCGGTCCCGGCGACTCCTTTTCATGCTGCTGGGTTTAATTGTCTTGTTGGGATAAAGAAATGTTTGCACAGCTAAAGTGGGGCCCGGCTGGACGGGCGCAGTCCCTGATGGCTGCAGAGCCATCTGGCCCGGCTTGGCTTGGCTCGGCGCGCGGCGCGCCCGGCGCGGG